TAAATTTCTCTACCTTTATCTGCCCTCTAAATATAATTGTTAACGCAGTGGTTCAGCGGACCAGAGATCCTACCTACGATTCGCGCATGGCAACTCCTGCGTGCCTATTATGGAGCTCACCGCCTTCAGCATTGAGCTCTAATATTATACGGCGCAAGCCGAAACCTCATTTCTACATTTGCTAAAGTTGCACTGGAGTGACAGTAAAGGCGCGACCCTGGTGTCTTCAGCGCAGTCCCACTTCCACCGGACGCACTAGCCAAGCCTTCCTGTGTTCGGCCAAATAACGCATGTGGTCAAATTTTGGTTCACGCCATCACATTTGGACGTAGCCTTTCCCATTTCCTTTGCCACTGTCTTTATTTGAGCACAACAGCGAATAAAACGGACTAACTTGGGGCCAAAAAATGCCTTCAGAGAAGCTTTGCGCATGGTGGCTCCAGCAGCCTGCTTTTCTAGCACTGTAGAAAAGCGGTCTGCTTGGCGCATTGGCACTGCAGCACAAAAATATCAGCCCTGCATTGCTGCAGGCCCAGCAATACACTCCAAAATCAAGTGACGGGTACATCGTCTGCAGCTTTTCACAAGTGTATCTGCTGCAGCACGAATCGCCAAGGCGGTCTGTTTGCTTTCATTGCCTACACTCGCTTTTGCAGGTGCTTCACCTGGTGCTTCTGTGGTTTTTCTATGCCCAAAATACGGTTCGTCTCTGCAATAGCAGATCAGAATCGCCTTTATGCAAGGCTTTAGGTGCTCCTTTGGGAGAGCCTGCCTCTTCGGACACTTCACTTTTGGTGATTCCGCTGGCTCCTACAGTTGATACATCTGAAGCAGCTGCTGTCACAGCGTCTCCAGCTGTCGCCTGAACAGTGAACACTGGTTCAACGAGCTCCTTCGCAGAAAAGCCGCTGGCATGATGGCCTGCTTCAATTGCTGCATTTGTTTTTGGCTCCCTTTGTTCACCGCCGCGGTCGGTTCTCCCGTTTCAATCTGTTTTCATCCCTGCATCATATTGAACAAAAGCTCGTGCAATGTTTGCTAGCTTTAGACGAGGCGTCAACGGAAAACTCAAAAGGCAGCATTGTAGAACAACGAAACAACGGCAAACAAAAATAACAAACTGAAGGATCACCAAATATCTTCAAAGAAACTTTGCCTATGCAAGCTGCAGCAGCTGGCTTTTCTATCACTGTAGAGAAAAGCTCTGTACGGTCGTTTGCCACTGCAGCACAAACAAATCAGGCATGCGTGCCTGCGAACTCAGCGTCGCACTTGGAAATACAAGTTGTGCTGCTAACTGTGCACGCTCAAGGGAGGGTCAAGTTGCGAACATGACGTTGAGAAGTGAAAGAATAGAAATCGAGCGCGTCCTGCTTGTAGCTTCAGGTCCACATACGTTTTGTCTGTTGTGCATGCTTTAAAACCTTGAGGCTCAGCTCTTCTATTAGCGCCAACAAATCGCGTGCAAACTGCAATTTCATCACCACCCCACAACAACGCTTTGCCAACGGTCCCAACTGTAGCTAAACGTCCCATTGCCGCACGAGGACTGGAAGACTAACCCTCTGAGCCAGACGTCTTTCAAACAGGTTTTCTAATAATCGTCTTCCCCTAACTTGGCTTAAGAAGTTTTGATTTTTCACATCCTGCAGGGAAATCGAAGATACGCCAGACACAGCTGGAACTGCCCCAGGCATTGCACTATCGCCAGGCATTTATCTCTTCAAATTGCTGTTCGCCTCCCTACTGGTCCTTGCAGACACAAATAGGGCCTGAAGTGAGTAACAAACAAGGTACTTACTTCCTCCACAATCTCAATATGCAACGTCACTGTACCAACGCCGGGTATATTACAGTCCGCCTCGACCTTAGCTGCAGGGTCCCCCAATATACGCAGGAGAGGGCAATAAAAGTTAACGCCAAGCATGCAAGTCACATTTTAAGGAGCTCTCCCTGTGCGGGAATTCCGGAGCATGCTTATCTGCATTGACTCGTACAGGCGCGGCGGGTGCTGCAGCAGCTGTTGCTTCGCTTTGATTCAAGCCGAATCAGTGACTGGCTCGTCTATCTTACCTTGAAATGGTTTGTCATGGGGAGAGCACAGGCTATCCAAGTGTGCTTGAAGCATTAGTAGCTTTGCTCGTAGGAATGCGTAGTTCTGAAATGCGCAAGGCACACGACGCGCACCGCATCTAGGAGGCTGTTGGAGCAGCGTTAACTTTCCATAAAGGCCGGCTCGCATAGGAACCATGCTCATGTTTTGTTGCTGTTGCTATACTGTGGACCTACGTCTGCCTTGAGATTCGGAAAGTCATAAGGTTTTCCCAAATCTTTATAGTGGGGAGAATTCGAATCCCCCAAGGCCAACTTCGATCTATAACCCCTGCTCTCCACAGGTTGAGATGCCTTTGAGCTGCTGGAAGCAGCCTCACCTGATAGTCCTCCTACTCGTGGGTTTGCTGACACATAAGATTTTCCTACGACGCTCGTTATTTTCTTGCCGGCAGTTTCCAAGTCCCCAGCCAGCGGCCCCATCCACCTCGAACGCCCTTGCCTTTCCACTTTATGTTTCTCAGCTAATTCTCCAGCAGCTGCATGAGCATCATGCGGCTCGGCGCTTGTGGTCTCGGCATTTGTCACGGTGCTCTCTTGACCACTATGTACAACGTCATAAACAAGATGGCCGAAGTTGCTGTCGGAGTCGTCATCCTCGTCATCTGCTGCTGCTTCTGGAGCTGCTGCCGCGGCATCGCCAGATGCTTCGTCTTCACAGCTGTCGTTGACGCCTTCCTCAGCTGCTCCTGTTCCTGGAGCTTGAGTGCTTGCTGCTTCCGACTGTGGAGGAGACTCGTCGTGTGCGTCTGGTGATGTTTCAAGCTCATCAAACTTCAGGTCTCCAGATGGACTGTTTTCATCGGAGTCCTGAGTGACGCGTCAAAAAAAGCACGCTGGGAGTGGAGCACAGGGGTGAGACAGAAACTACACGCGGCACGAATCTGTTGGCTCTGATACATTTGAAGTGCAGATTTCCTACACCTACTTGCGAGTGGGATGAGATGTCACCAACCAAGTCTGAATCTCCAGTCCTGCAACCATATTCCGACAAGTGCTGTAATTGACGTCGAGCGCAGAGAGCCACAAACAGCACGACGGCGGAGTAAACTAGCAGCTTTAGTGCTGTGGAATACCCGACCACGGGCAAGCCAGACCCTGAAATAGGCCGAGTAGCCTGAGGGAGTAAACCTGAGTCCCGATTATTTGTCGGGCTAGGGGACCACTCATAATGCACTGCTTCCCCCATGAGTGCCAATTAAGGAGCTCAAAGGGGTCAGAACGCTGCAGTGCGTGGCCCCGTAACAAATGGCGTGAATTGAGGAG